GTTTGGGATTTTTTTCCCCCCCCCCCCCCCCCCCCCCCCTTCCTTTTTTTTTCTGCCCCACGATGTTGTTGTTGTTGTTGTTTGGATGCCTTTGTGGTTGGCGTGGGCAGTCTTAAGTGATTTGTGTGTTGCGTTCCGCTGGGGCTCTTTCTGCCCCGCTTTCTCGTTCGCGTTTCGGTCTTGCCTGCTGTATCTGAGTGCTTTTTATGTGCCATCATTTTATAGTGGCATGCTTGTTCGTTTTGTCTTGGTCTTTGATGGCACTGGGACATTGGTGTTGATGGCCAGCCTGCGTAGGCTGGCAGATTTGTGAATATAATGGCATGGTGAGCTCCTGCCCTGCTTCAGCAATTGAATTTGGAAGACTGGAATTTAAGAACAAGAACACAACCGCCTGCGGTCATGCACAAGGGTCTTTAGAGTCAACAAGGCTCACTCACAAGGCCCCTACGCAAGCATGTCTCTCAAGCCTGGGACTGGCGTCGCAAGCTACGCTCATGCATCAACCGCGATTGGGTCTCCTGTAGGACGGAAGGGATGAGAAAGATGACTGGTTTGGCAGCGATCGAGCAAGGACTGGCAAGGCGAACCTCCAGGCGATTTTGCGCGTGCGTGTACAAGTCGGAGAGCTGTACGTGGGCATGGTCAATTGTCGATCAGCACATGCTTGTCAGTGGCATATGTATCATCATGGAAGCCTATGTTGCGGGCGAGTTTGGTCACACCTGGTCCAGTCGAATCTGCAAAAAGGCCGAGTCTGCGGAATTGATGGGCAGCTGCTCAATCCTGTTACAATTTTGTGTCAGAGAAGTGAGTATCAAGGCATGCCTGAGCTTGGCTACAAGAGTGGGAAGGGGACATACTTGCGATGAATTTCGCTCACGATGGCGGGAAAGCTGCTACTGCCACCGCTGCCATTGAGAGTGCTGGCCCGCGAACGAGGCTGCACAGGGCGATAACCCGCACTTGAGGTGGCTGCGCGTGATCGAGCTCCCCCCTGAGGCGTCCTGAGAGTGACGGTGGCAAGGCAGTCAAATCAGCTTGCTCCGCGTTCAAAATTGTAAGCGCCGGTGGAATCTCAGAAGCGCAAAACGAGATTTCACAAGCCATATCTCGCCAAAGCAGTGCTTACGCTGCTCGTGAAGCTAGAAGGGTTGAGCATGCACATGCGGCACATAAAATGGGAGACACACGAACAAGCGAACAAGACGGGCCCAGACCAGAGGAAAACATGCCAAACATAGGTAAAGCAGACACGGGCGAGTCATGGGAAGGTGGGTGAGGTGGGCAGTTGGCGCGCTGCGGGCGCTCTGATTATGTGGTACGGCAAGCTGACCATATTGACTGCGTTCTTGAATGCGCTTCCTGTGACAGCAGGTTGAGGCAGAGGAGGTGTCTTGAGTTGCGATTCGGAAGTCGTCAAGGCAGACAGACATCCAAGTAACTCACCGTTGCTCCTCTAATTCAATGCTGAAGCAGCGGCCCAACAGGGTGGTAATCTCTCGTGACTAAGGAAGCACCAGACCGGCAAGGTGGATGGTGAGGCGGAGTGTCTGGTACGATGCAGACCACCGTCGGCTTCGCGTGCACGATGCGTGCATGTGAGGGAGGTCGGGGATGGGGCCCATATCCGTTCACAGGGTACTCACTCGGCTCTTACTCTTGAAGACATGGCATTTGTAAACGGGCGGTTGAACCGAAGTGTTGGCGGTGACGACGGAGAAGACTTGGGGATTGCTCGGCAGCAAGGTGGTGTAAGAAATTTGCGATAGGGCATATGAGTCTTGAATGGTATAATGGGAAAAGTTCATGATTTTGAGACCAGCAGTGGAAATGGCCAGCCACACGCGTTGCTTCTGCTCCTTGCTGGCTTTGTGCGCCGCCTAGCGTCATGCATCAAAAGCGCAGCCCCGGGTCCATCGCGAATGAAAATGATACTCTGGGCTGGGGTGCCAGAAAGAATAGAGGAAGAAGAGAACGAGAGAGACAGGAGGGGTGGGGGGAGAGGGAGAGAGAGAGAGAGAAGAGAAGGAGAAGGAGAAGAAGAAGAACGTACGCGCACGCGGTTGATGGCAGTAATTGCCATTTGCTCTCCTCGGCTCTCGGGCACCTCGATGGTGCCAACATACTACGAGGCATCGGGGAAAGAGAGGCCGGCCGCGCGCGGTGAGGCGTGGGCTTGGTGGTCAGGGTGGGCCAAAATGGTACAGCGTCGCCGAGGGTCAAAGTGCTGGACCAACCTTGGCTTTGATGGTAAAGCCATCAATGTATTGTTGGCGTTCTTGACTGGACATGGGAGGCAAACGAGCCGAACCCAGGAGTTCGGGGCTTAAAATCATGATGGGGTCATCGGGGGAGGAAACGGGTAACGTCGATGGCTCTTCTGCATCTGGAAAATAAGCCGTGGCTGGCTGGGTCATGCCTCGAGGCGCTGCCATCTTGACCATTTGTGTTGGCTCTGAAATAGCACAGCGGGAGAGGGGTGAGCCAGGCACCCCCCGAACAACGGTGCTGCTCTTCCAAACAACTCTTTCCACAGCAGCAGTGCCAAAAAAACAAACAAAAGTGCGAGGGTGTCGAACATCACCCAGCACCCGTGACAACACGATGTTGACACTTCCTCATGTGTACCTCTTCTGAAAGCCGTGATTTACCAGCAGCTACACTCCAGCCCGCGCAGCGTCGTCGTCGTGGCCCGTCGTCCATATAAAAAAAAAAAAGTAAAGAAACACACACACACACACACACACACGAAATTTCTCAAATTCCTGAAAAGCAAATAATTGTCAGACAGTCTGACATTGGCATTGAGGAAACCTGTTTCAACAGGTTTTGTTGTGATCATTTTGGCGCTGAGCTCCGTCGTCTCGTTCATCTCTTGTCGCTGTGTTTCGCGTGCCTGGACTCGAGTGCCACAATGTGTGGGCGGGCGGCGTGTACGTTGGCGCCACGGCAGCTTGCAGCTCGCTACTGTGGCACTCGGTCGAACACAGGAAGCAAAACCACAACGTCATCAGCTGCTAGAAAATCCGGCTCAGACGCGCCCGAGACCAGCACGAGCCCGTGCGATCCGACTGACAAGGCGAATCAACAGCAGCAGTTTGAGACAAAACCTTTGGTGGAGGGCGAGGCCAACGATAAAAAACCAGGCTGGGAGTCGGCGGCGTGCGAAGGCACCCCGTCGTGGCACTCATGCTTTCGCGGTGATTTGAGCAAATATCATCAGTCGTACAATACGACGCCCAAACAATATCTACCGGTGCTCGTGCAAGATCCAAAGACTGGGCAGCGCGTCTTTCATGTCATGCAGTGGGGGCTTGTACCTGCCTGGCATCGCGGCTCACCTCGCGATTTTGACCTCACCATGTTCAATGCCCGAATCGAAGGCATTCTGGATAAGGCAAGTCCCCTTGTCACCGACCACTTCTTCTGTCTGCCTCCTCTTTGCATCGAAGAAGGTGCAAGGGTTCTGTGACCATTTCTGATTGTATGACTGCTGGTCTCTGCCTGTCATGATCAAACTCCTGCAGGCGTCGTTTCGACATCCACTTGAGGCGGGTCAACGCTGCGTGGTTGTAGTGGACGGGTTCTTCGAGTGGGAACAGAGTGACGATCAGGAGAGGCGCCAGCCCTTTTTTATTTACTCATCCGACAAAGCCAATGTTGCTCGAGGACGCGCAACGCCCCAGGACATTGACGCGCTGAAGAGCGACATTCAGCCGCTTCTCATGGCTGGGCTCTGGGATGTCTGGCAGGCCAAAGATCCAGCCGTCCCGCCCCTCTACACCTTTACCATTGTGACTGTGCCCGCTAGTGCAGCGTTTGCTCCGCTTCACGATCGCATGCCAGCCATTTTGGATACGCCCGAGAAGGTGGACGCCTGGCTGACACCCCTGCCTGATGCCACTCCCTCCAAGAACTGCCAGGTCTGCTTCCTGCTCTCCACTTCCTTTTCTCGCCCCCTTTGCTCGTTGCAGCACTGGCATCAAAAGCGTCTGGACGCGCGTTGTTGCACTGTCTCTCATGCTGTGTTGTGATAGCTGCTCGCCTGGCTGTCACCTTCAGAAGCACTAAGTTGGCATCCAGTCAGCACCAAGGTGGGCAGCATCAAGGCACAAGGTCCCGAGCTCATCAAGCGCGTTCAATCTCAGCGTGAGAAGAAGCAGCGTCTGGCTTCCAGCATGTCGGTAAGTTAGATTGATCAAACATGCCTAGTGGTGACATCAACATGTCATGCCTGTCGTAGCCCCATGTGTATTTGGAGGTCTCACTTTGTAGGTGTGGCATTGCGTAGGCATGGCTGACTGGTGGTTCCCGACCTCCTCAGAAGCGGGCAAAGTCAGATCAAGCCACCGTCCACCCCATGGTTGAGCCAAGGACCGCGGTTCACAAAGATGACGCAGCTTCACGCTGCCCCCCACACAAACCCAGGCCCAATCCTAGCCCCTCTCCGCCTGGCTCATCTGCCAAGAAAGATGACGACGTGATTGTGTTGGACTGAGCTACCCCCCCTCGAGAAAACCCATGCTTGCGTGGCAGCGCTTGCAGTTGCAACCTGTGCGTGTGGTTCATTTGGCAGATGAGCGAGGCGGTTGGGTGTCGGCTGAGCCGATCAGCGTGCGTCATCAACGTCTGAACCGGAAAATTACATTTGGAATTAAGATCAAAGAGGGCATATAATTCAACGTCAAACAAATTCACACAGTGACACGGAACCACGACTCCAACAGACATTAACAATTAAAAAAGCCCATCTTTTCCAATACGCGACAAGAACATGTTAGAAAGTAACGCAAGGCAAATCAGCGAGGACCTCCATCGACCAGTGAACAAAGGTCAATGCGCAAGGGACCGAATAGAATGGCCAATGACGCAACGCGAAAGGCAATCGCCAACCTAGGGCGGGTCACGTGGGGCACGGGGGTTGTCGTCACCCACAGACTCACAGGCAAGAGCGAGGCAAACTTCCTTTGCATTGGCTCCAGGACGTCGTAACACCAAGCCGCCACAGGCGGGATGCTACGGCCGTGATCCATGCTTGTCGAGCATTGTGGCGCCCAGATCAGGGTGCGAGTTGGGAAAAACAAAAAGTCGCTTAGAGGATGGTGCAAAATCCCTTTTTGGCTGGTTTGGCGCTTGTCGTGCCCAAGGCCGGCTGCTTGACCTTGCGGATCTCGCGTACCAGATCATAAAAGGCCTCGTCCTGCGGCACCAAGTCAACATGAGCGGATTGGAAGTGGCAGACAAGAGCCAACACGCGCGTTGCTTTGCGCTAACAGCTTGGTCGGGTGCTACTCGACGCGTACGTACCACTTTGATGCGGCGCTTGGCGGAGGTTTCCAGGAACGGAACGCCGTACTGCTTTGCTAATGCCTTGGCTTCCTCAGTTGACACCTCGCGTTTGTCTTCCAGGTCACACTTGTTGCCGCAAACTGTAACGGGAAAAAAAAAGAAGAAGAAAAAAGAGCGCAATGTGCTGTCAGTTTGGGATGCCTTGATTCCTGTATGTTAGCACAAAATAACAAGTTACTGTTTGCGCCGTCGGCCCCCAACAATAGTATAAACGTACTAATCATGGGCACCGAGTCTGCATCTTTGACCCGCAGGATCTATCCATAAATAAAATCAAGGACGGGAGCAAGATGTTGAGATTTTTCGAGATGGTGGCCATGAGCAGACAGAGCAAACAAACAAGCCAAGCCAGTGTTGTCTGCTGGAGGGCACGAAAATGGTTCACTATCCAACCTGTTCCCTGAATTTGCCAATCTCGTCAAAGGATCGCTTGTTGTCGATGGAGTACACGCAAAGAAACCCCTCTCCAGTTCGCATGTACTGATCGCGCATAGCACTGACAAGAAAGAAGCAGGGCCGGAGTGAGGCTTTCCATCAACAAACTAGCATTAAAAGGGGCCAAGGCTTCAGGCGGCACGGCGGGCGCACCTATACTCTTCCTGACCGGCCGTGTCCAGGATGTCCAGAAGACAGGTTTCTTCGTCAATGACAACCTGCTTGCGATATGAATCCTCTGCAGTCCCAAGACGAGGAGAGGAGTGATGAGTGACAATCGAAACCAACAACGGATAAGGAACACTGGCCAAGGCGCCCGCCAGACCACGAACCGATGGTGGGATCATATTGCGTCACAAAGCTATTCCGAGTTGTGGGTAAACACAATTGTCAAGCCAGCGTGAGGGGCCAAGCCGGCAAGATGGCAAGCAGCCTGGGTGAGCAGAGTCAACGTACTGCTGTTGAATGAGTTGAATGGTGAGCGCTGACTTGCCGACGCCACCGCCTACGACCATCGCCGCGGGATTTCAGACAAGACTAACGGTGAGAACTGTCTTTCCGCCAGTACGGCGAGCAATTGCAACAGCAGCAGAGCAGTTGCCAGCAGTCATCTTTGAAAACATAACAAGAATTGAAATGGAAGGAAAAAAAAGATGTGGGGGAGGGGGGGAGGGGCAGCACATCTGAGGGGGACAAAAAGGTCGTTCAACTAATCAGGGAGAGACATTGGCGTGTGGAAGGTAGGCAAGTTTGTTTGATTTGGTCCCAACGGAGGCGCGTGCTCGCATCTCCTGTGGCGTTTGCTTCTCTTTGGTAACCAAAAACGCCCCTCATGGTGTCTGGAGCCCGGACTCTGACGCGGCGGCTTTTGTGGTGTGGGAACTGGGTGCGGGCGTGGCAGCACGAAAAGGAAAGGCTCGTCTTTTGTTACGTACCGCCAACAACAACAATCTTGTATTCAGTCATGGCTGTTTGTGCCGGAAACTGGACCAAGCCGCAGACAGCAGGAGGGCGGACGACAAAGATGCGCTGGAACTTGAGCGCAAGCTGGACTTTCTATCGTTTTTTTTGGTTGTTGTCATCACCCACGGGTGAGGCGGAACTGTGCCCGGCAGCATTTGTGTCGCCAACACCCCCCTCTTGAGAATGAGCCGGCGCACGTGCACTTACTCGAGACAGCAGCCGTCCGTTGGTGTGTTACCCGCACGCCTGTGGGAGAGAGAGAGAGAGAGCGCGCGAGAGAGATAGAAAGCGAGCACAAAAAAAAAATGAGCAGAGCGAAGAGAGAGGAGAGAGCGCGCAAGGGAACGAACGACTTGACACACACACACACACACACACACACACACACACACACACACACACACACACACACACACACACACACACACACACACTCACACACACACACACACACACACACACACACACAAAGCAACAAAAGAAAACAAAAAGAAGACAAAAAAAAAAGAATAAAAGCACGGAGGAGAGGAGCAAACATCATTATGAACTATGGGAGGAAGGGGAGGAGGCTGACCGCGCGAGATGATGCGAGGGCTGGGTCGGGTGCAGGTTGCCCAGCACGGCAGAGGGGCTAGAGCAGATGGTAGGGGGAGTCGTGGTCGGCTGTCCGGTGGTGCAGTCTGAGTGATGATATACGCAAGTGGCGTGCGCGGGCCACACAAAACGTTGTGTCGTTTGATTGACGTGAAGCAATGAGAGTGATCAAAAAGGCAGTCAGCACAGCAACTCGATCTTCATACGGACAATCAGAAAAAATGCAACACCTGAGCAGACCAGTGCTGTTCCAAATCCAACATCCAACCATCTTCCTTCCACCACGCCCGCCCGCTCATGTTCAGCTGGACGCCGGCACCAACTGCCGTTTATGGGATCGACCAGCCTCTGACCTTCTACCACTGACTGCCAAAAAAGGAACTTTCCGGTTTTTCTCGATTAATTCTTCTCTCTCTCTGTCTGTCTCACTTTTCTCGCTTGAGGAGGCTACTGCCAAGAAATTTGAATTATTCAATGATGAAATGTACCACTAATATGATTCAAAAAAGAAGAGAAACACCCTCAACAAAAAAAGATCGCACTTGCTTGAAAGCAAAGTTTGACCGTTTTAACGAATTTGAGATTCTCGTTTTTTTGGCGCTGGCGCTCCTGCTCTCTGATTCATCAAAAGGGGGAGGGCCACCAAGGCCGACGGGCAGCGACAGCACCATGATTACCTAGTGCCACAGTGTGGCAACACATTGCACGTCATGGCCGATTCTCCAGTGACGCAACCCGCTTCGCCAATCCCGGACTCAACGATCGCGGCTGCTCTCGACTCGTACTTGAGGCACGAGGAGCGGATTGTGCCAACCACAACAGCGCTCTGCCATCAGGCGCTTGTCGAGCCTGTCCAAGCCACCTTTGTGCTTCAGCACCAACGCGGTCAATGGGTATGCCGCCTTCAAGCAGTTCTGCTTCCCTTCCCCGCTTTCCCCCTTTGCCACTAGCCCCTCACCTTGGTGGATGCAAACCCAGGCACGGCTGTGCGTGACACTTCATCCGCACACATGCGGACCTGGTACGGTGAGTGCCCTGGTGGTTCCACCATTGTGCCTGCGAGAAATGGGACACCACCTGCTATTATCAAAGTGAGGCATGAGAGAGATCCTGCCGAGTGCTGTCATCCACTCAGCGTGTGCATCAACTCCCTCCACAACAGTTCTGGCTGATTGATCACACGGGACGCTTGTTTGCACGCATGCTGCAACCTATCCCTGCCTTGGTGGACCCCAAACAACTTGGCCGCCGGTGCGTGCTGCATCTCTATCTTCAAGAGGTCCTGTTTGCACGCAAGTCATGCCTCACCCCGGGTGTGTTGGTTGCAGCTACTGGTCGGTGTTGGGCAAGCTCGTTGACCTCTGGGATGCAAATCAGCAGCGGGCAACGCGATGCCTCGACCTCTTTGGTGCCCACCCGGTCCCGGGAAATGCGGTGTGTATTGCCTTCTCACATGCCAGATGCCATGCCGTATGACACCCTAGCCTGCTTCCCAAACCTCGACCTTGCCTATTTACTTGTGCACTGCTCATGACCGATGCCCACCTCAGCTGACGCATCATCTCCTGACGCTCCTGCACGTCCGCGTCCAGCGCCCCAATCCACTTCTCAAACAATTGGATCCGCCTGCATCACCCGGGGATCCAGCATTGCCGCCCTTTCTCCGCCGCTTCTCCTCGCGCACGTCCAATGATACACAGGCCTCCAAATGGGAAGACCATCGCACAAGCCCAGTTCTGCTGACAGGAACAGCTTGCTCGGCCTTGGCTGGCCCTGCCTGCCCTCGGTGCGCAAAGCAGTTGCCCTCGCTCCCTTGTCTCGCCCCTCCCTTTGTACAGTTTTGTCTCGTATTTTGGAACATCGCCGTCACCTTGCATTTCATTTCGTGTGATTCGTCTTGTAGGAGTGCCGTCACGGCCCCCCAGTTCGTCTGTGATAAGGTGTGGCGGCGTGACGTTCTTGTCGGTGTCCCTGCTTGGCTCGATGGGTTTGAAAATCAGGTTGACGCACTGCTTGCGCCTGTCCGGGTAGATTGCTGCTTTGTGTTGTTCACCCGGCCTAACGAGTGCAGCCCTCATACGTGGGCTTGTCGGCTTGGCCTCGGCGGGTGAGGTGACCGAGTGCATCGAGCTGATGCTTGATGCAGGTGTTCTTATGGCCCACGAAGATCGATATTTGGCCACTTGAAGTGACGCGAGTTTACGTGAAAAATCCCAGTGCTTCTTGTGCTGAGCTCTGCCATCGCTGCACCCTGGCTTGGGACAAGGGATTTCCGACGCATGCGTTTGGCCTGCAGCTTTTTGCGCTGAGCGCTCGAATCGTGCATCTTATTATTTTTGTCTCATGACGTTCATTTTCCTCGATGATGTTCCCATTCTTATTCCGAAATTCGATTCTTGGGTGTGCAAAGCTGGTCTGGAAGCGAGATTTGGTGTCGAACGTTTGTTTGCACACAAAATAGTGTTGACTCGCGCTTGAAACACGTTGCACTTGTGCAAGGCTCAATCGTCGCGCAGAGTACACGCAAACACACGGAAGAACGCCCACAAGATAAGGGGAACATCTCGGTTGTAATGGTGAGGATGGGAGGTAAATAAGTACACATCTGTTCGCACCGCGGTCATGGTATCACTTGGAACACAAAACACGGTGCTTTGGGTTGCATCAGCGCAAGTTTAATCCGAGGGTTCCAACGCCACGTAGCCGGGTCCGCGGAAGAGAAGGCGCAAGCGGATATTGTGTGGCACCTGTTCCAGCTTCTCCTTCACCTCGCTGATGGACACAGTCTCGAGGTCGACCACTAGATAACTGCGCGACAGAAATAGCAGGAGAGTGAGGCAAGCAGCCCAAGAAAGGTATCACAGCAAGATCACGAGGGGGCGAGCTAAAGTGCCTGGTTCCGAGCCAACCTACCCGACTTCGTCGTTTGTCAGCAGTTGCTGCGACTTGATGTTGGCGATGGAGATGATGTTGTTGATGTCACGCAGGACACCTGGAAGGATGGGGGTAGGGCGGTAATGTGAGAGGCCATAATGGCAGAGGGGGCCAGGCGTTGTGCCGCTAGTTTGGTGATCACGTTCGCGTACCAGGTGTGTTTTGGTGGAAGGAAACGACACGCGAATGACCCTCGTCGAGGCGGGCGCTAATGTTAATCTCCGGAACGTTGACAGCACCAAGAGTTGAGCCGCGGTCCATGTAGGCAATGATTTTGGTGGCCACTTCGCGACCGATGGAGGCCTGGGCCTCCTCTGTGGAGCCGCCAATGTGGGGAGTCAGGATTGTATTGGGGCAGCCCTGCAGAACGTTGACCCATTCCTTGGTGTGGCCCGCAGGCTCCTTGGGATAGACATCGATGGCGGCGCCGGCCAAGTGGCCAGAGCGCAGGGCAGCAGCAACGTGCTCAATGTCAACGCAGCTACCACGTGCTGCGTTGATCAGGTATGACCCGGTCTTCATCTGTCGGCACGATATGAAAGGGGGATGGCACTAATGAGGTGCACAGCACGATAGAGCCGGTAGCTACAGCACACGAGCGTGTGCGTGTTCTCTCTCTCTCTCCCTCTCTCTTTTCTATTCAAAGTGAGAGCTTCAGAGAGCATGGCCATGGGGTTTGCACGAACCAGGGCAATCTGTTCCTTTGTGATCATTTTGCGCGTGCTGGGGGTGGCAGGCACGTGGAGGGACACAAAGTCAGAGGTGCTGAGCAGCTCATCCAAGGTGGCTACTTGATGTGCATTGCCGAGCTGGAGCTTGGGCTCAATGTCATAAAAGTTGACCTGATCATCAGTGGCACGTGAGCTCCAAAGTCAGAAGTGCGAGGAAAGGCACGTGCTCGTAGGCCATGTCTTCTCGTACCTTGAGGCCCAGGGATTCGGCAAGGACGGAGAGCTGGGAGCCGACGTGACCGTAGCCAATGATGCCCAGCGTCTTGCCACGAACCTCATAGCAGCTAGAGGCGCAGTATCAGGTTGCAACACTCAGCTGGGACATGCATGCATTGGCATTGGAGATGGCGAGGCGTGGGGGAAAATCTTACCCGTCAGATTTCTTGTTCCATTCACCCTGGTGAATTTCCATGCTGCGATCGCCAGCTTGGCGGGCCAGCATGATGATCTCGGCAATGACCAGCTCTGAGACACTACGAGTGTTGGCGTACGGGGCGTTGAAGACCGGGATACCCTTGGAAGCAGCATGCTTCAGATCCGTCTGCGAAAAAGCAACAGTTACAAGACGGGGTCAGCATGGCAGGTGGGGAGAGGCCCGCACTGCGCCTGGTTCTCATGAGCGCTGCGCGGCGCGGTGCGGAGTGGGCGCGCTGGACCAGCCTGGGGTCGCTAGCTACCTGATCAGTGCCGATGCAAAAGCAGCCGATGGCCGTGAGCTTGGTTGCCGCATCGAGAACACGGGCGGGAAGCTTGGTCTTGGAGCGAACGCCAATAATGTGCACATCCTTGATGGCCTCGACAAGCTCTTCCTCCGAGTACTTGACCTGGAATATGGCGCATCAGATGGACGTGTCAGAGAAACTGGCGGCGAGCCGGGCCAGTGACAGTGTGCTAGGAGAGGTGAAGGGGAAGCATATTTGTAGCTCGGGCCTCTTGAGGCCCGTCATTCAAACGTGTGCAGCGCAGCGCCAGCGCCAGCGATGGAGGGTCGTGTACGTACCGCTTGGCGAACAGTAAAACCTTCAGCCTGAAAAGTTTTGACGGCCTCGGTGGAGATCTTCTCCATCAGAAGGACATTGATCGAGCTCGGGTCGCTACGCTGGCTGGCAGCCATACTAACGGTCTCAAGAACAGCTTCAACAACAACAACAACAACAGTCAAAACCTCCGAGTCAACAACGTAAAATGCCACTCACGGCGTTGCCCAACAGCCCGTGCCCTGGAGAGAGAGACACGAGCCACGAGACACCAGAGAGAGAGAGAGAGAGAGAGAGAGAGAGAGAGAGAGAGAGAGAGAGAGAGAGAGAGAGAGAGAGAGAGAGAGAGATGTGAGGAGAGACAGAGAGAGAGAGAGAGAGAGAGAGAGAGAGAGAGAGAGAGAGAGAGAGAGAGAGAGAGGGAGGGTGTTGGCCCACCGCTATCGCTGTTTTAGCTGAGACTTGGTGGTGTTGTGCTGCTGCGGGCAGGTGGGGTTGAACGTGTGGCTGGTTGGGAGGATAGGTGTGGAATTTATAAAGGTAATTTAGTGGTATGTGGGGAGGATGTGTGTGTGTGATGTGTGGATGTGTGTGAGTGTGTGAGCCCGTGCGTATGAAATTTGGAAATTTTTGCTCGGATTGTGTGTGTTTGTGTGCTTGTGAATTCTCGGCCCCTGCAAAAAACGGCGGTCGACTTGGCTCGAAATCAGCCCCGGTTACGAACAATGAGCTTCAAATGACGCTGCGTCGCTCTTTCCGCGTCCAGAACTGGCCCGATCCTCGTCCAGACCCGGCTGCCATTCAAGCAAGCATCGTGTGACAATCAACCAAAGCTTTTTTTGTCATGATGATGCCGAGCGCTGTGTGTATGTCAACGTCAACATTGCTACATGTGCACAACGAACTGCAAAACACAAACAAACAGAGAGAGAGAGAGAGAGAGTTGAGCAACCAAAACCAACAACTCTTCCCCTCTCTCCCAGGATCGCACAAACTGTGCGTAGATGGGTCAAAATGTAGACGGCACAACGGCATTGACCGCCAGCCAGTTTTTGTCTGACATCAAACTCTCGCCGCCAGATTTTGCTGGCAAGCAAACTCTTTTGTTACAGTGCCCTTGCGCGCTCACACACACACACACACACACACAGCACATACGCTCACACACACACACACACACACACTCGTGGCAGTCGCGTTATCTTTTTCTTCTTCTATTTTTTTTTTTTTTTTTCCGGGTACTTGTTCTCACACCTCACTATCGATATGGAGCTTTCACCTCAAGTGCGCGCCAACGTGGAGGAGGCCATCGAGTATGGCAAGGTGGCCTTCCGCTGGGGCTTTGTTCCCACCATCCTTCTTCTCGGTACGGACAAAAATACTCGCGGCTGCGCTCGTCCGTCTGTTTTTTTTTTCTTTTTTCTCGCGCTCACTCTTCGGTATCTCGACACAGGCCTCATCACCGGCCCCGAGCCCCGTCCTACACTCATCAAGTACGTGGTTTTGCGTTGCTCCTTGCCAAGAGGATTGGTGTTGAGCCGTTGTTACCATCGCTGGCCTGCACATGGTCTGCATTGTCCCTCATTTTTTGCCGTCCTCCTGCAGCCTGATTACGCTCTAAGAGCCCCTCAAATACTATTCAAGTGCCTGAAATGAATGAGACTCACGATGGAAGGCGACAAGGCAGCAAGAGATGACCATGCGTGGCTTTTTCGTTTCCCGCCTGGACCTGCGGTGATGCCTGATATTCCGCTTCGTGTACCCCCGAGTGGAGCCGACCGGGTCGTCCTCATGATTCCATGACTCAAGATGCTGGTCACGTGTTGCGTCTTGGCTCTGTCTGTCTGTCTGTCTGTCTTCAATGCCAATGCCAGTGCACTTGGTGTCTCGCGTTTTGTTTCGCGCCACCTCCAGGTCTTTTCTTTTTCTTAAGATTTGCCGCATTGAACCAGCCTGTGGCTGGCTGAGCAAGATCCCTATTCCTTTTTCTTGATCAATTCACGTGCAAACTCTTGTATGCAGGGTACCTGCTTGTGTGCTTTTCTTGAGCAGCCCCTTTCTCAATTTTCAAGCTCCCATGCTGGCTTTTTCGGCGAGTCGTGTACCTGCGTATACCCACCCACAACTGTTCTTCAAGCAGTCCCATGCCGATTTGAATCTCTTTTTGGTGTCATGTCACCAGCATTCGCTATTGCACAGGGCCGGTCAGTGGCTGACAGAGCAAGTGAAAAAGCTCATGGCACCGAGCACGAGTAAATGCCGGCGCAGGGAGAACAGCCGGCTCAACAAGTCATTCTTGATCATGAATTTTGATTATAACATTATTATTCTGCTTGAGAAGACAAGAACAAGGGAAGCAACGGCCGAGCAGAGGCAGTCGAAGCTCAAAGATGGTGGCTCACGCTTAAACTAGAAATGGAAACGATGGCGGCTTACTCTTGAACCAGCCCATCCGTTTAAGAACTGCCTCGCCGCCGACTGCGTTGCATTTCACCAATGACTTGGATATCAGCCAATTCGTGCCAAGTTTCAGAGCCTTTGCCAGATCCCGCAAACCGGATCAGACAGGTCTGTTGCTCAACGTTGATATCCATCACACGCCCGGGCCATTCTGTTTTGCCCACCGTCACGAGCACGTTGGCGTCTATTGTTGGCAGTGAGCGAGTCTCGATCACACCGACATTGGCAGGTTTGTCCTCAGAGCGTGCACCAGTGCTTGAGGCCGATGAGCTGGATCGGTGGCGTTTGCCACGGAGTGATGCCGACGCAGTCTGGCTGGGTGGTGGCACACAGGCCTCGCCAAGATGCGCGCAGGTCAACTCCAACGTCAACGGCGCAACGACCCCACGCGGCAACTCACGCGCCGCACCGCACAACTGGCAGTTAAAAGCCAACGGAAACCGGACCACAGCCGAAGCAAGGGCCGCCATGCTGCACCAGCACGATTGGGGCACTCTTGAGCCAGTCAAAAGTGCTCCCAACTTGGTCCTCGCCACGCAACCCAGTGCCAAGAGACGATCTTGCTGCTGGGCAAGGACTAACTGATCAATCATCAACTTGAGCGCCCAACCTGCCATTCAAAGCACAAGCAGATACAGTGGCAACGAGCCTGATGAGTTGACAGAACCACAACGCGCTGCATTCGCCGCCAACCGGCGTCACACACCCAGTCGATCGAGACACGACACGAGCAGAAGAACGACGCACCGAACCGCCCTCTAATTATTTTTTTCGTACAAAGAGGGGAGAGAGAATTGAGAGCGAGAGAGGGTGTGTGAGAGTGTCCAAAATCAAGCAGGATTCACGTTTTGCCATATATATTGTAATATTTACGGGTTGTAGACAAGCTCATCCCCCATAGTCAAATGGCTATGATGTGACGCTCTCACCGTCAAGGTCGGGGTTCGATTCCCCGTGGGGGAGTTAACTCTTTTTGCCCTTTTTTTGCCTTTGTGCCCAGTATAAGAATGTAAGAATGTCATCTTTTCTTTGCGCCCATGTCACTGTGTTCGTGTCCTGTATGTTTCACTGAGTTCGCTGTTTCATTGGCAAGCCTGATGGGTTTATGAATCTAATAGACCAGCTTTCGTAGCAACAGTAACACGGCTAGAAGGAGTTTGTGTAGAGAAACGTGAGGAAGTCTCTTGTGTGCAAAGTACGTGTTTTGCTTTTTAGAACGACGACACTCGAGAACGACGAGCGCCGCTGCGTGGATGAGGGAGAGAGGTTGCGGGGACGGGGGCGCTATTGTGTGTGACTGGTCCAGCCCCAGGGTGCGTGTGTGCGTGCGTGTGTGTGTGTGTACATGGTGGTGGTGGTGGTGGCTGAAGCCAGGGAGAGGAGCAGAGAGTGGCTGATTCGAGACGTGCCGGATGGACGTGGAAGAGGCCTCGGCTCGGGCTCACTACGTCGAAGTCCGCGTTTCAAGTCCAGATACCAACACAATGCTTGCAGTATCCCACGCCAGTGAGGATGAGGACTTGTTTCAGGCTGATGCCCCTGAGCGGGACGTGCATGGCGCCCCACCGTCGTCCAACCACGTCTCTTTGCGTGAGGGCTTACTCTATGACTCCGACGAGGAAGAAGCCCACTTCGACCTCCTTGATTCTCATGCGGGCGATGGCGACCTGCGTCTCGAGACCTTGCCTTTTTGGTATGCCTATGAGAAAACAGCAAAGACGGCTGCTCCGCCTCCCAAAGTGATTGTCGTCTATCCCACTTTGTGTGCAGGCGCTGCAGCGTTGGGTCCTCATCATCATTGCTCATCCATTGCCGGGCGGCCCGTGCCCCTTGTAGCGTCCGACCCTGCTTCAAGAGCCCACGCACAGCGCGCTACTGGAAACAAATTGTCGGCGCATATGCCATGCTCATCGTCGGGTTTGGTGCGTGTTGTTTGCAACGACCCAGAAAGTCCTTGGTTCGCCCTCTGCCGGTGATTAACAACAGCCAGTCTCCAGCCTACCCAGTTTCGCAGTGTGTTCCATGCTGACCGGTTTTTCAACTGACCGGTTTTTCAATACTTTATTTATTCATTTTTTTTTGCCAGTGCTGATCATGGCCGGCGTTGCCCTCGAAGCAGAAAAGGTCAAGGGTATGTTTTCAGGCCTGTGCTCAGCTGCACGCGCCCGCCCCACTCTCGGTGCTCTGCTGTCCGGTGTCACAAAGACTGCCCCGCTTACCTTGCTCATGCTTGCCCAACGTAGTCGTGGGCAGTGTTGTCTTCTACATTCTCGGCGCACTGTGCTTTGTCCCTGGCAGTGCGTTGATGCCCGACCTCCGCTCCTGCTGTCTCATGGTGTCAATCAACTTCGCCTCTCACCTTGGGCCACCCCATGTCTGCACTGCCTGCTTTGCCACTGCACAAATGCCTAGTCTACTACGTCTTCAACACCTGCATTGCCACTCACACAAGATCCCAGCGCCACCTGGACGATCTTTTTGCCCGCTTCGGCTCCTGAGCCGTTTATTACCTACAACCTGTCCCGGGTCTTGGTTTATGAATGTGCTTTTGGCGGCGAGTCGCTGACACTGGCGCTGGCGCTCACGTCAGTGCCAGCGAGGCGTTGCCTTGGAACCATTGCTTGATGCTGGAGCTGAATGTGTTTCCTATTTTTGTCTTTATGGTTTTGTTTGTTCGGTGTGTTTGTTCTTTCCTTTTTCCTCTGACTACGTAATCAGCGCGCCCAAGGCGCCCAAATGTCCCACTTTCTTCTCGCGCCAGGTTTGTGCGCTAGGATTCAAATCCAGAGGCTCATTCTAATCCAGAGACACGTCAAATTTGCATCTGGGGCCATAGCCCGACGTTTATAATTTTCTCTTCATGGCGTCGACGTACAACACCACATCGATGCGCCCCTTCTCTCATATTATGTACACCCACACACAAGGAATACTTGACGCGAAATCTGCTTGTTGTACAACAAGCAAATCAAAAAAAAAAAAAAAAAAAAAAAAAAAAAAAAATCAACCCGACGTCGCCAAACTAGTCGACACAAACACGAATACACGCGAAGAGTTGTGATCACACTTACACCATCAGCTCAATCAGCAAGGGCTGGTAGTCAAATCGCGGTTCAGCGGCTGCACACCAATGTCCACATTGTTCCACTGTGGAATCACCAGCTGCACTTGGCTACCAGTAGGTGACCAGCTACCATCCCGGCTCCTTTCATATCATGGCACATGGCAGATTCATGGTCAGGCTCGGAGACCCGTTCGAGTCGAAACCAGACCATCGTTGCAAACATACCGAGTGCTGGGGGAAGGCTGCTGCAGGCGGGACAGCAGGGCAAATGTGGACACGGATGAGCGGCGCTTTGGTGAGCTCGCCCATTCCCGAGGATCCTCCAATCGCAACTTGTAGGGGGTCAGGGGCGCAGGCGCAGCACAGCAGCGCAGTGGCCCTTCGGCCAATGTTTGGGCATCGGTGGCGTCGGCCGTGCAAATCAAAACTACTAGACAAGCCTGGGAGAAGACACCAGGAGCAACAGTCACCAACGAAGCGGGCAATAGGGTAAAGCATTGACAGCGGCGATGAGAGCTGACACCGCGCCGAAATGGGATGGCACAGTCCCATGACATACCGGTGTCACGGCGAGAGACGCTGCTAGAAGCGTAAGGACCCAACTGAAATCATCATGGTGCACAACGTGCTCGCTCAGGCCCAGCTGTGCACATGTAGATAGCGCCAAAAGGCCATAGAGCAGGCCCAAGCGGCAGCTTAGGTGGCGGCGCACGAGGAGGTAGGCCACCTCAACCAGTGTCAAAACGGCTATCACGATAGCGCACGCCCGCACCAGATATGTTGAGGCGCCTCCAGGCCAACACAGGGCTGCACCACAGGACGGCGTCCACCACACTGTTGGAGCGACAAGTGCCGTGGTCACAATCACCGCCACAGGAAGGAGCCAACATGTCAGGAAGAGACGGAAGCGCAGCATGGCCTCGGGCACCTCAGCAAAGGCGTTGGCCACCAAGCTCGCGGCGAAAGGTAGAGCCAGGACCCAAGCCAGGGCACTAGCCCCACCCACAGCAACGAGGCCCGTGGCCGCTTGACATGCCGAGTCGTGGTTCTCAGGCTGAAACAGGCCAAGGGCGAGCCCCACAAGAATCAGCATCAGGGCTACGAGCATGTTGATGTGATTGTACTGAAGTAAGCCCAGGCTATCCCGCCAGCCAATGTACCCCACCAGAAGTAGAGCCACGAGCAGTAGTACACCTGCCACCGCCAGTGCGCTGGCGATTGTCGAGACGGCAGCCCCTTGGAGTTCGGGTACGTCCTCGCAGGTGGGCCCGGCGGCCGAAACACTGCGGTTGGCAGGGAGCGCCGTGGGCTGGAGCGGGGCGCTCGTCGATGCAAGCGGGTTTCCAAAGGCGTGTACACGGCTGCCCAGAAGCGCCACGGCGGCTGTGTCATGGCAGGCACAAACGGCACCTGTCGCGTTGAGCCGCAGCAGTTGGCATTTCCCCGTGACTGGACCCTCCAACTGCTGGCATGTGACATCAAGGTGCAGTGTCGGGGTGCCAGCGGTGTCATGTACCAGCAAACGGGCAACGCTGGGCGGGGTCGATTCAACGGTTAAATTAGTGGCACCATCACTCAGGCCCGCCTGTCGCCAGGCCCGTACGGCAGCGTCGGCCACAGAAAAGGGCAAAAAGAGCTCCACAGCACCACCGGGAGCAGAGAAAGTCACAAGAGGGCTCAGGTAAGCCTCGGGCTCGCTTGCAAACGTGGTTGGATCCCAAACGCCCATCACGACGCTCGAGTTGTCGTCAGGCGTTGTGCTGGCGTACTCCACGGTCAGACCCTGCACAACGGTGGGGCGGACGCCGTCGGACGAGGCTGGGTTGATCGGGGTCAGATTCAGCAGACTGATGCCTGTATCGTGGAGGGGAAGCTCAACGCCACGCGCATCGTGGTGCGCGGTCTTGCCGAGCCAAACCGCCAACCAAGATCGGCTCCGCTGGGTCATCGCACGGAGACCTACGTCAGCTTGAACCAAATCTCGATTGGTTGTCAGGACGGCCATTAGCTTGTGCACGGTGACCAGAAGCGTGCCTTGGTCGTGGGCCGGGGCGTCCACGGCCAAGAGGGTTTCTATGATGCCGACAACGTCGCGAAGATCGGCGCGACCAGCACGGGCGCGAAGGGCAAAAGTCGGAATTTGCAAGTCCTGCAAAAACTGAGGTAGATCGGCTGCTGTGGCAGTGCGCGTTGGGGCTGCGGTAGCCAGAGCTTGAATCTGCGCGAAGCGGCATGCGTGACGATCCGGGGCCAGCCAGTCAATGATACCAGGATGACACCGACGACCAGACCAGTCTTCAAGCGCATCTTGTTGGCCGTCACAACAGTGTCGCAGGATATTGCCATCGCTGCTACTGGGGCAATCCAGGGTGGCGTCCCGCCCAGCAGCAGTGGCGGCCCACATACCGTCCTGGCCGCAAAGGGCGCGGGCTTCCTCTATGCACCGGGGTTGGTTGAGACAAAGAGTGAGCGTGACCGATTGGTTGCCAAGCGTTTCGGCTCACTCAAATCGGGTACGCATCAGGTCTGGGGGCAAGCTAAAGACTGACCAGCCTGAACTCGGATCAGAAGCACAGCCACCCAACACACGAGCCCCAGCAGGCCGGCGTGCGAGCGGGGAAAGGCAGTCATGGCGATGACCACGGTGGCCTCGGAGGGCGACAGGAACAGGCGTTCGTCTGGTCGAAGCTTGCGAGGCGTGCTGAGAAGCCACCGGATGGATGACCAAGCCACAAAATGTGCCTTTGGGTCCCTTTTGGACGGTGCGATGTGGTCAAAGTGTGTTGCCAAGATGCCACACTCGCTGGAAAAGAATAATAATCTGGCGTCTTGACTCTCTGGGCATGCGTCAACTGTGGCCTCTGCCCCGAATCCTGACCAGTGGGAAGGTCGTCCAAGCACCGTGGGCATCTGGCTGTCCCAACGACATCATGGCAGCAGGAAAAGGCCACCCCATTGACATCTGCTCCTACTGCACAAAGCAGTAAGGAAGAAATTGGGGCTGAAGGTGAACAGCGGACATGACTGACTGCTCTTGTCCGCAGTTTGAAAGGGTTCCCTCACTTGTTTCTCGCACTGCAAATTATGGGACGTTCCGCGCTGCTGGATTGATCATTGAGTCATTGCGACCTCCATGGACCAACAGATATGAACGGGATGGGCGGAGGCGGGATTTGGCTTGGTGTTGAGAGAGCAAGCATGCGAGAATGAATATCTCTATTCAGTTCAGGAAAAGACCTCCATCGCCAACAACAACCACACACAAAAACTCAAGCCTTGAAAAGCCTGTGCTCGAGCTCAGCTAGCGCGGCCGACTTAGTTGGCAACATAGACACTGCAGAGGCAAGGGGCGTCAAATAGAATCAAATGAGTACACGATAACGAACAGGAAGAAGAAGAAGAAGAAAAAAAAAGAAAAAAAAAAAAAAAAGCCAGAAGCACTCGCGAGAACAGCAAAAGGCATCAAACTCACTTCTTGGTGATACCGTCGCGGTCGGTCAGGCGGTTGAGGCTGTCATCGGTCTCGCCCTATCAAGGCAGAGCGGGTCCCAGGGCCGACGAGTTACGTCGTGAGCAAAACATATCCCAAAATGAAGACAATGTATGGAGCTGGATATAAATAACTCTAGGCACGATAACCTACCATGCTGCGGACGGGGCCGCAGATGGCGTACGAGTAGGTCTCAGCGGTCATGACACCAGTGGTGGGGTCAACCTGGCACACAAGCAAACCGAGGCGTGTGAGGACGAGTCAACGACTGTGGCACTTCGGTGGAGAAAAACAAACAAACAGATATGCGCGTTTGTTTCTAGTGGTTCATGTGGAAATCATGTTGGCTCAGCTGAAGTGGGCTGAAAACTCATGTACAGACAAGACAGGTCACCATCAAGGACTGTGGCTTGAATCGTGCTTCCCGGACATCAAAAGTGCGCATCATTGACCCCCCAATTTGCACTTGAGGACCAGACACGAGAATGCTCACAGTTGTCTTGACCAAGCCCCTCAAACGCATGCTCAAAACACCTTATGGCTCGAGGCCCGTTCATCGCATGCAAACGCGCGTTGCACTCTACGCCAGCAAGCCCCTGTGCACTTGTAATGGACACATCTTTTCAAGAGACACTCGCTTCACAAGCCGTATGCTGCTCCGTTGGAGTTGTTGAAAAGTGATGCACTATGCCGTGCTATGCTGTGCCATGCTATGCTGTGCTGTGCTGTGCATGTGTCAGCATGCCGAGTCAACATACCTTGGCCACGTTGATCTGCACAGCGGCGTGGTCGGTGGCACCAATGATGTTGTTGGTGGCCGAGCTGTCAGGCGTAAACGAAACGATAAGAGATAGCAAAACCGCGGAGCATGAGAACACCACGGGACCCAGCATGCCCAGCCAGGCCTTGGCTGGCGCGCCAGCTTGAAAGCCAAGTGCTTTTCACTCAAAACGGACAACAAGCAAGCAGGGCGCACGACAAAAGCCGGGCAGACAAAGCTGCCATCACATTCATCACAACGGCTGCCTTCTTATAAAGGGCAGCGCCAACGTACCACTTGCGGGGCAGGTAGATGTCGACAACCTCGCCGTGATCGTTCTGCATCTTGGTGGTCTTTGTGCAGGGAAAAAAAGTGTCGCTGCAGGTTCAAACCTCCCGCTTATCCTGTGGTTCAGAACAAGTGTTCCGACCCCTTCACGCGCTCATTTTGTGCCAAAACGTGAACATCGTCACACTTTACCAGGTTGTAAATACGTGACAGTGTGGCAGATATCACACTTTAATACTTGCTTAGTGCTACAAGCGAGACAAGTTGGTGAGTATTCCTCTCCTTCAGCCCCTTCAACCAACTCAGTCTCTCCGAGCCTGCGCCAATCCCGCACACTCTCTTCTTATACCTTTGTTTCTTTGTTGTTTAGACTTGCGGTCGATACCATCTCTCTGACCTTCTGTCCCTCACACTCCACCCCTCTGTCCGTTTCTCCCTCTCAACCTCTTGTCTCTCGACCTCTAGCCGCAGTGTCGAGCCACACCCACGTCAAGGAAGAAGCTTAGAGCGCCTTTCACGTCGCCACACGTGAAGTCAGCTCAGCACAGGTTTCGAGAGCGAAGGGCATAGTTTTTGTGTGTTGATCGGAACGGCAGCGCCTCGATTTAATCTGAGCCGGATAAAAGTAGCATTTATCAGAGCCACCCTGAGCAGCAACGGTTTTCAGCTAGGGTAAGTGTCAGCATCAACCTCAGTGTGAGACAGCCAGCAAGTTCATATGACCGTCTCCTCGCCACCTCGTGACCCCTTGCGCGCCGACTGGACCGAGAACTCGACCTTTTGTGCCCAGACAATGGCGCCTCAAAGTACCAACACTCACAAGGCCGTGTTTGCTCTTTGCTTCAGGCACGTCGTACCTGGCTCATTTTCACTCACAAGCCCATATGTCCGGAACACCTTGAGCCACCGCGATGGCCAACGACTATTCGAGCGATGAGGCCGATGAGGTGAGCGCCGTCGCTGATTCAACCCTTGTGTGTGTGTGTGTGTGTGTGTGTGTGTGTGTGTGTGTGTGTGTGTGTGTGTGTGTGTGTGTGTATTTGTGGGGCAGTGGTTGGGTTGGGGCCGTTGGGGTGGCGCAGGCGACCCTGTTCATCCCGAGTTGAACCCTGTTCGTCCCGACTTGGGCCGCTGCGCCCAAGTTCGCTCTCACACCGTTGATCCGCGGGCAAAAGCTTTCTCACCCTGTCCTTGCTCGGCCATTACACAGTGCCCTTTGTGCATGGAGCCATTGGTGCTCGATGATTTGCACTTTTACCCGTGTTCTTGTCAGTATCAGGTACGTTTGGGCTTCAGTGATCGCGTGCGCCTCGCCCTGCCTTGTTGGATTTCTTTTTTCTCCCCAAGAGTCAGAGCATGACTTAGGATGCTCTTACTGTTGTTGGGCTTTGATGTGATGGCACGCGACAATGGCTGACCTGATTGCTTCATTTGATTTTTTCAGATCTGCCGCTTCTGTTGGCATCGAATTCGCACCGAAGAGAATGGATTGTGTCCGGCTTGCCGCAAGCCCTATGAGGATGAGCCCGCTGAATATAATCCAGTGTCAAAGGATGAATATGCCAAGTATGGGGCTTGCACTAGCTTCAGGGACCTTTTTGCAACGGGCAATGCTTTTCGGTGCCCAGCCAGCACCTCATGGTTGTGATGCGTCTCTTGGGCTCTTGATCGATCTCAGGCTGCGAGAAGCCAAACGACAGAAAAAATTGGAGCACAAGCGACAGATTGTGGAATCCAGAAAGCAGCTGCGCTCCGTTCGCGTAGTGCAAAAGAATCTGGTCTATGTTATTGGTCTACCGCCCAAACTAGCCGACGAGGTGTGTCGACAACTTTTTTCATGTGTCAGCATTTTTGCATGCATCTCATCGACGTCTTTGCCTTGCAGGCCATGTTGAAGCGACCAGATTATTTTGGCAAATACGGCAAAATTCTCAAAATAGTTGTCAACCGAACTCCGTACTCACAGCAAGGACCACCCAGCTTTAGCGCTTATGTGACCTTTGCCACGGCCGAAGCGGCAAGTCGTTGCGTTCTCGACATTGACCGCAACGTTGTGGATGACCGGATCATCCGCGCTTCTTTGGGCACAACCAAGTACTGCAGTAGTTTCTTGCGCGGTCAAGACTGCACAAATCCTGATTGCATGTATCTTCACGAACTTGGCGACGAGGCCGTCAGCTACACCAAGGAAGACATGATTGCTGGGCGCCACACACAGGATGTCAATGTGAATCCCCACCGTGCGCAGTCCGCCAGTCTCAACTCCCCCGGAACTTCGCCTGCACTTCAGGGTGGCCAGCCCACGCTTCCACAGAATGCTGCCTGGGGCGGTGGTCTTGGAACCCCCGTTCCCTCCACGCCCGGCCCGTCTGAGGATGCCTTTCCGCCCATCGAATCAGTGGCCTCACGCACTGCGTCAGCATCCCATGCAGATGATGATGCCGCTCAGGCTCAGCAATCACAAGCCAGTCGTAAGCAGCAGCGCCGTCAAGCTCAGCAACAGGCCGAAGCTCAGGCTCGAGCCGAAGCTGAAGCCCAGGCTCAAGCCCAGGCTCAGGCTCAGGCTCAGGCTCAGGCTCAGGCCCAGGCTCGAGCTCAAGCCGAAGCCCAGGCCCAGGCTGCTCAAGCTCATGTACAAGCCCAGGCCCAGGCTCAGGCTGAGGCTCAAGCCGAAGCCTTACGCGCTCGAGCTCAAGCTGAAGCACAAGCACGAGCTCAAGCTGAAGCACAAGCACGAGCCCAGGCACAGGCACAGGCCCGCGAACAAGCACGAGCCCATCTTCGCGCCCAAGAGCAGGCCGACGCACAAGCTCAACCATCCCTTCACAGCCAAGAACCGCTGTCTCGATCCGCTCTGCCCTCATTTGATGATCCTCCTGCCTTTCACGAGCGTTTGCCTCCTCTGGGCTCACTGTTCCATCCCAAGATGGCTGCAAATCGCCCCGTCCTGCCTGCCCCCACACAAGCCCGCGAGACTCAAGATCAAGCCCGCCAACTTCCATGGGCCGTTAGCGACGGCACTCAGGACCCGTTTGCCCTGCACATGGACCCCCATACCGCGGGTCGTAGTGACTGGTCAGCACAAATGCAATCGCTCTTTCCCACAGTTTGGTCCAACGCCCCTGTCCCAGCATCCCGTGCTGCCCCACAACGAACCTCCATGCCCCCAACTCATCGACCCCAGCCGCACGTGAATGGTGTCAGTGCCCCAACGCTGGGTTGGGCGGAGGGTGCCAGCGACCCCCTACTACAGGACCCGGCCCTCTTGCCCCCTACCTCATCAAAGGCCCAATCTTCTGAGCTGACTGGTCAAAGTCGACTGGTTCACCTTTTTGAACGCAGCGCTACCCGTCGTTCTGGTATGTCTCAGTCACGGGGTTTTCTTTTTCTGCATCATGTGTTTTATAATACAAGTTGTCTGTGGCTCGCTTCTGATTGCCTTTTTGCCTCTTTTTTTTTGTCCTCTTTCTTTTTCTTTCAGCAGGTCCTCAGATTACTCCACAGCAGCAGCAACAACAGCATCAGCTACAACAACAACAACAACTACAACAGCTACAACAACAACAACAACAGCAACAACAGCTACAACAACAAGGCACTTCGCGCGGGGTTGCACCACCGCCAGGCCTCAATCTTCCCACATTTACAGACGGCTTGACCTCGGCGGCACCCCGTGGTACAGTTCCGGCCCGCAGTTACCAATCGAGCCGACGTTCAGAGGTACGGTAACCCTCAGCATTTCAACAGCGGTGGTCGGTGTTCTCCCTTTATAATGTACTTGTGCTTTGACCGCACGCCGTTGCTGGCATGTTTCGTTGGTTGGGACATTGGGCGTAGTGCGCCGTGTGTTTGTTTATGCTCGCTTGGATCTCTCGTATTGTCTGCTCTTTGGTTCTTCTTCCTGTTTTCTTCTTCTTGCCTTTTGTTCCTTTTCTTTTCGTTTCTCCTTTTGTCTTCTCGCAAAGAGAACCCATCCAGTCCTTGCCGACCATGTCGACCGTGTTGTTGTTGTACTTTGGTACACGGCGTCAACTGTGTTGTCGCCTTGTGCCTGTTACATCGATGAGAGGTTATATCTGTATAGTCATGATTCTTGTTTTGTTTTGTGGAAGCTACTGCAGCAAGGGAAGGCAGTCTTCCAGCATCTGCGGTCTTCGACCCCTTCCCTCCCAAACCTCCGAACCTCTTCATCTTTTTTTCTTCTTTTTCTGCATTGGAAAAATTGCATGGGGAGGGAGGGAGTATGGGACAGTAGGGCGCCGCATTCGCTTTTTGCATAAAAGTGGTATCTGGCTTGAGCCATGCCCTTGGTTGAAGCAACCGTGGTCTGCGATTGTCAGCAACCACGGGTTGGGATTTGGCGCCCTGCTCGTCTGCCCTCCTACCCTTGCAATTGAGTCCATTGTCGAACTAGATCTTCACACACGGTCTTGTCACCTATTTCATATGACGATCCCGTCTTCTCCTTGATCAATCCTGCTCGTTTGGCTTCTTTCAACCATCATCTCTCACCCACCCCTCCCCCCCCCCCCCCCCCT